GCAGCAGTATTGCTTGGCTTTGCACACCCTTCTACACTTTTACCTGCCAGTTCATCCAAGGTAACAAGAAAAAATAAGAAATAGTGATTTATAAATTCAACGATGTTATCTTTTTGATTATGTTGTTCCACATATTCTAACTTGTTATTTTGACAGTTGAATGAGATGCCTATGCCTAATCCATTTCATAGGCCTCAATCCAGTTTCATGATTGATGTTACAAGGGTTGAGGGTATGTCATTTAAAATAAACTGCCTAAAAGAAGGAGCTTATAGTTTCTATGCATGATAAAGTTTTGAATAATTGTTTTTTATGTGCAGATTCTCAACTTATGGTTGGCTCTGCGAATCTGCATTTAACACTGGTCTTATGGTTATGGTTATGGACAGTGATGATAGAGTAGGCATTCAACTGTCAGGTAACTAACCTTTGTCATTGATTCATGGGTTCTCAGTCATGATCAATTGTTACATTCTTTTGTGTGTGTCGATGAACATGAAGTGTCTTTGGACTCTTTTAATGAAAGATCAAGTATGCTTAATACTTGTAGGGTACTAAATGATTTTGTTAGTCATCCACTATCTTTCTCTATGTCGACACGCATATATGTTTACTAAAGCTAATTGATTCATTTTAGGATTGTATACTTAATTGAAAATTTCAAAACTTTATTTATACAAAATGTGCACATTCAAGACTACTAATATCACTGTTAAACTTTTGGAAAATGATGGCATGTTGTTCAGGTCCCTTTATACACTTAAATTTTGTTTGCTAATTGTTTTTTGTCATTCTTAAAGTGTACTTTATTTCCTGATGCTTTCTAGATGCATCATGACTATAGTTTTTATTAGTTACATTATATGTAAATTTACCTTATCAAATCAATCTAATGCACGTCTCTCATCAATCCTTAACGCTAAACACACTAATATTACCTTAAAAAATAACACAGCCTGTGCATTGCACGGGCATGCGACTAGTAAATATGTAAAAATGTCAATAAATAGTACACAATTTTTACGCGAAATAAAATCAGATATTAAGTGATTTGATAAAATTTTCATTCAACTTTAAATCACATGAAAGCTGTATATGATTTTAACATCCACAATGACGAACTCCGTCAATTGTACATTTAGATTCCCATATTTATATACATTAAGGACCTATAATCATAGTTTTGAAAAGTTGATGATTCAATACCACGTTGATTAAATCCAACCTAATAATCATTTTTGAGAAATTCTATCTAACAACAATGATGCTCAACACCAGTTTAGGTGACATTGGA